GGATTGCATGCTTGCAATATCTAACTTTATTATTTTTCTAGAAAAAAGATTTGGGCAAGGAAAGAGTATCAACAGAGATCTGATATCATTAATGAATCAACATTTTCACATTAGTTCATGTCTAGTTACCTAGACTATTTAGTGGATAATAATTCATTATTGATTAGATAGTAGGTCTTATCTGTTTAACTATTTAATATAATTTTACATTTTGTTGTTAAAATATTAAAACACCATTTAATTTAACAGTGAACAAGGCCAAAGCATGGCAACAAAAGACCATGGTGTGATTAAATATTGTGATATAGCTGTTTCATATGGAAAATCTAAATCTAGACTCCAAGCAATTTTTTATGGAGAGTTGCTCATATGGCCATTTAATAAAGGCATCATGCCACATGTTAAAAATGACCATATAAAATTGGGAAAAGTAGGCAAAAACTCAATAGATATGCTAAGAAAAACATTAGGAAACAATTGATATTAAGGTCATTTTAATGCATTTTATGATTAGCAAATTTTTTAAATATCAAGTTTAAATATATAAAACTTATTAATATTAATATATATATTCTTTATTCTAATATAATGAATTAATCGTCTTGCATTTTCCTAATCAACTCATGAGTTGAAAACACTTCTTCTTTTTGATATCTTGATAAACACGATAAATCCAACATTAAAGCCTTCATTTGCATAATTTGACTCAACAAACTTCTATGATTGTAGAACAAAAGCTAAAAATATCGAAACCACACTAAATTACCTCTAAACTTGGCATTTCTCGAGTTTGTTATACAGATTCCTATTATTTCTCTTTATACCTTGAGGGTTAATTATATCCGAGAATAACTAGTCATCTGGTTGTAATATTACATTGTGAAGATTTTGACCAATTGTTGATAAAATTTTATTGCCATTATTTTATGATAAATAAATGTGAAAATTTTTTAAATTTACTGAAATAAATATATAATTGTAAAATCATATATAATTGTAGTTACTTGTCTTAATTTTTCATATGCGGTTGTTGTAGAGATGTTTGTTGATGGGTCAAGATCATGCAGAAATGAAACCTCTTAAGGAACATGATTTCGAAACAATAATGTGTGTCTATCCAGATCTCTGGGATTCGCAAAAATAAATGAGTGAATGAATAAATCTATTCCTCCCTTGGTTTTGTTATCACTACTAGTGTGATGTGCATCTGCAATTAGTACAAAATTCTGCAATTTAGGAAGTTACATTTTTGGTTGATGTCTTGTTGGGATGGCATGCCTACTAACCACATTTCCTAGATGAAATAAATGATATATAATGTTTGTTTTCAATTAACTTAATTACTATTATAACTTTTTTTTGTGTCATGAAGTTAGATCCTGTTTTGTAGGTTTGGGTGAATATTTGGGCAAAAGCCCATGTCCCCTACCCAAAATTATAATTAATTTATATAGAACAAGCATTATTTTATGACTTTCCTCATAATGCCAGAACATGTGCGACCAATGTGATAAAATACTATTTCTTTTGAAGAAATCCAGCAGGCTCTTTGAAAAAGAAAGAACACAAATGCAATTTCAATAATAATAATCGCAAATTCCTCCCGGAGCTTGAAATGAGTCGCAGATTCTCATTGCTTTGACGGATTCCTTATATTACAGCTCTTCAACATGTTGCAACCTCCAGAATTGCAACTTCTTGGTTACATAGCCAACCATCTTTACCCTAGAGGTAGGTTCATTGGAGGAAAATTTTCAGTTAGTATGCATATCCAGGTAATATCAGCTCAGGTACTGTGAAGAAAGATAGGTAAGATTTGATACAGCTTTGATAAACTTCAGTGCCATGTTACCCCTCCTTGGAATTTTCAATTGCATCATCATATCACTGGGGAATCTTGGTCAGATTAGCCTTGTGTACATGGGGAATATGTGTGAATAACTGTAATGTATTCAAAGTAGC